ACAATAATAAGAGTTTGCTTTGGTGGATTGTTTCTCATTCCACTATTTTTCCATAGGAAAGATGTTCCTTTCGTAATTAAAGTTTCTCATTTCATCATAAAGAATACTTTAAAAATAATTGTCGTTTGGTCCTTCCAATTATTTGCTTCCTATAAGACCAAAATTTCCACGTTATCACCAATACGCACAAAAGAGAACCCTCACTATAACACGTGGTGTAAAATCATGGTACTTTTTTTTTTTTTTTTTTTTTGGTAAGCATGAAATCATGGTATTTGCTTAATTGATTGAAAATTTGAAATGCTCGAAGATACGTGATGATTTCTAACATTGTAACTGACAGTTATCTTTTTCAAGAAACTAATTAGGGAAAGGAAAGTTGTGGTATAATATAAGGATAAAATCATTTTAATACCTTATATTATATAACGAAACATATAATTAGTATCTCGTATTTTTAATAATATTAAAATTATATTTCATCTTTAGTGAAACTTCTTTATTAATTTTTAGGACATAAAATGTATTTTCTAATCTTCTCACTAATCAACAACAATTAGCAAACTAATAATTTTTTACAAAGAAATTCTAAAAATATACTTTAAAATATTTAAAAATTAAAAAGTAGAATATGTTAAAATATTTTTAGAAAATATTTTTAAAGTTATTAAATTTTACTTAATTAATGAATATGACAGTTTAAATATTTTACATCTCAAAAATTAGTCTTAAGACACTGAAAGAACGTTTCTTTAAAAGTGAATTTACATTTTTAATATTATTAAAAATATAGAGTACCAATGAGATGTCTCACTATAACAAGAATACCAAAATAATTGTATCCTTATCACTAAAAAAGACTTTTAAAGAGTTTGTTTACACAACTTGAATTGAATTGGACATGATCATCATTAACATCTTTATTTAAACGAGTTCACATAAGTCATGATATGCATCAGGAAATTTCTGTCTAAAGCTTTACGATCATTACTAATCTAAGAACATTCCGCAACACTTTTGTTAAATTAGGGATCCATTTGTCAAAATAAAAAAAAAATTAAGGGGGAACTTTCCAATTATGGAAATTTTAAGGGGCATGTGCGCCAAAGTCCTTTTAAATTTTGATTTTGATTTTTGGTTATTTTGGCTAAGCATGGAGGTTTGAGTTTCTGTAGGGAGAAGGGTGATGAGGTAGATCATAGGTGTAACAACAATCTACTAATCTTCTTGCCAAAGACTACAAAAGGACGAGAGCTGAATAATTAAAATTAGTTTCAAATTTTCAAGCAACAACAATAATATCCATAAAATCATAATTATTATAACAATTATTATTATTATATTAAACGAGGGGCGTTATGGAGCACGTGACGGAAGTATCTGGTGTCTGTTGACGTAGCGTGGAGTCGTTTTGAAATCCTTCTGCGGCGGAATCCAGTCAGGTGAAGACGCGTGTCGTTCATACACGTGTCGAATTTTGAAGTGTGCCAGCTAGACAACCGTAAAAGTGAATAAAAATCGTGTTCACACTAGATTAGAGAAGAAGCAAAAAAAAAAAAAAATAGACAGATTTGGGGGAAGTTAGTGCGCCATGATGCGAAGAAGATTGGGCCGACCACGCGGATGGCGGTGCTGTCTGTCTGTGAACAGGCAATCACATATGTTTCCTAGTTCCACAAGAAGGCTTCTTACTAGAATACAATAATAATAACTATCTTTCATTTTCAATATTCCCAAAATGCCCTTATGTGTTTTTATTTTGATATTATTATTTCTTTTGTGGCCTTTTTTTATGTATGTTCCTTTTTCTGGTCAAAGTCATTGACTAGGAGCTTGGAAGATTCATAAATTCATTGGATTTTCTTAGTTTCTTTATTATTTTGTTTTTTACGATAATATTAACTATCTTTTATTTTCAATATTCCCAAAATGCCCTTATGTGTTTTTATTTTGATTATTATTTCTTTTGTGGTATGTATGTTCCTTTTTCTGGTCAAAGTCATTGACTAGGAACTTGGAAGAAAATCTTTTAAGTAGGATTCATAAATTCATAGGATTTTCTTAGTTTCTTTATTATTTTGTTTTTTTGACGAGCAAGTGCTTATTCAACGTCGGTGGTTACTTTTATTTTCTTTTCTAATTAGTAGACAATCCAAACAATGAAACCATCTAAACAATTGACTGAAGAGATTGATTTATGACAGTTAAATCTTCTCACTCACGGTTGATTGTCTACGTGGGGACTTGATTGTCTAAATGTTTAATTAGAAGATAGAAATGCATAAGTTTGTAATTGAAATTGTTAAATTGTTGCTAAATAGAAGAAAAACACAATTAGTTTGTTAATTTTTTAGAAAAAAAGAATCTTAATTTAATAGCAGCAAAGCTTTGTCCGTTACATTTTAATTTTCTATCTCCGTCTCTTATTACTCTTACTTGGCTACTAATAAATTTCAAGCTCGTTGGAATCTTTTTGTTGAGTTAAAACATTAATTTAATGTTTTAGCTTAAGTGTCAAACAAAGCTTACTTTATTAGCACTATTTTGAGTAACTTTGTTCAAATTATTGGATATTCATGTGGTCTATTATCTAGTAAATTACGTGCGCATCACTCTCGTTTATTTAGGAAAAGTAGTGAAGGTTTTCAGTACATGATCAATTTAGGATTTTACAGCTAAACTAGGATTTTACAGCTAAACTTCTAGTGTGAAAGTTATGAACATGCATTGTCATCTTATACTATTATAAGGTGTCATGATTCAGATACAGTTTGAAAATAAAGCATACTCTGAACGACTAACGAGCGCATGTATTATCTTGAAATTTACATTTCTTAACCCTAAGTCCACATCTAGGTCTAAAGATGGTAATATAAATTAGATAATGTGATAGTGCTGCCAACCATTCAAGCCTCCATTTTCCCTTCTAGGTCTAGAGTTTCACTGCCTTCATTTATACTTTGTGATTGCAAGAGCAGTTCCTAGTTCAGCAAAACAGGTATATCTGTTTCCCTTCAATATTCTTTTAGTATTATTTACTTGGTTTGCACAAATACCAATTATGTTGGCAGTTGTCAACTTGTCATGAACTATTAAAATATCCATAGAGAGATTACACATGAATATTCTCAACTAACCTATGTTTGTTTGTATATGATGGATTGAAAGACTGTACATAGCCCCCAAGCATCACATATAAACCAGTATTTGTGACAAAGTGTCTTTTCTGATAGTATATGGGAATTCTTGGATGGAAAACAAGCATTTAGGATATATATATATATATATATATATGGATGTTCAATATGTGATAATGAAATACCTTCTCAGAATCTTGCAAGTGCTTAAGAGTTCAAAGAGGAGAATCTAAGAAGTCTTTTTGTTATAAAAATTGTGCTCTATAATTAATGTATTTTTATATCATAATTTATACGCCTCACTCTCATTTGTTCTGAAAAATTAATGAAAGTTTTGCTACACAATTAATTTAGAATTTCACAGTTAAACTTCTCATCATTTCACAGTTAAACTTGTCATTTGAAAGTTATGTACGCATGTCACTATAATCATACGGTTATATGGTATCATTATTCTGATATGGTTCAAAAATAAAACATACTATGTACGGTTAGAGAGCGCATGTAAAATCTTCAAATAAATTTACATTCCTTAATCTCTAAGTCCTCAAATAACATCTCAAGATATTAGTATAATGTGGTTGTGCTGCTAATCATTCAAGCCTCCATTTTCCCTTCTAGGTCTAGAGTTTCGCTGCCTTCATCTATACTTGAGTTTGCAGCATAGCAATTCCTAGTTTAGCACAGCAGTAGGTATATATATTTCCCTTTCTATATCCTCATAAGCTATATATTGAAGCTTAAGTAGATACCCATATTTAGTTTACTAGTATAACGTGAGAAAGGAATGAAGTGCTTTTCAGATGGTATTTGGGATTTCTTTGGAGAGAAATCAAGCCTTCAGGATATGTATCAATATTTGGTAGAACTGGATATATCGAAAATTAAAATGAAAAAATTGAACAAAAACTATAAACATAGAGTTTGGAACAACATAGAATTTAAATTAAGAAAATAATCGTATTTTTCGTTTTTTTATTTTTATTTTCTTAGGTTGTTTTCTTATTTTCCAAAGGGGAACGTTTTGTTTATTTTTATTTTTTTTATGGATTAGCCTTGTGAGAATTTTCATCCTTCAATAGATTTCCAGCATTATTTCTCGACTTTCATCAAATATTTCCCTTTTTCTCTTCCAATTTTAATAAAGGGGCTCAAAGGGTATTTTCGTCACATAAAAAGTGGGGCAGCTTTGGGTGACACGACAGCTGTTTACCTCTTTGTTTTGTATCTCAAAACTTGGTAAAGGGGCTTTTGTCTTTACCAATTCATAGACTTTGGTTTCTTCTTCCATGTTATAATTGTTATAGTTATAATTTTTTTTTTTTGTTAGTTACTCCCACAACCACAAACCAGTCTTTAAGTTGAAGCTCTTGCCGCCTTTCAACATTCTCTGCAAAATCCTTATTTCCCTTCTCCTGTGTAACGGTTGGAATTTGCGCGTCAAAAAAGCCTCTAACCAAATTTCATTTTTTTAGAGAGAGAAAGTGGAGAGAAGTATAGAGAGAGATAGAGAGACATTGCTTCCCGGATTATCCATGTCCATATCCATTTCACTCAATTTCCTCATGCGTGCAAGCTATTCCTAATATAATCTCCCAACTCCAAAAAAGAAAGACCAAATCTCTCCACATTTTCCTGGTTCTTGACAGTTTTAGTTCTCTTTAAGCTTCTTCGTTCCTTCATTCGCCTCAAGTTTCTTCTCTCTACTTTTATATTCTATTATAACTTTCCTCTTTTTATATTTAAAAAGAAAAAACCACACCAAAAATCTTTAACTAATTTCCCCTCGTTTCTTTCTTTAGATTTTGTTATCCACTTGTATAATCGCTTTCAGGGTTCTCAAAATTTCTCGTTTCTCATTTCACTCAAATTCTCCCAAAAAGAAAAAGTTGGGTTCTTTTTGTTTCATGATGATTGTGATTATTTGGTCTGAAGAAAGCTAGTCGAATTTCATTGTTTTTGTTTTAGCCTAGAAAATTCGCAACTGGGATTTGCCCAGTACAGAAAAAAGTTTGAATCTTTGTTGTTTGTTTTTCGATCTGAAAAAAAAAAAAAATTAAGGAGAAACCATGGGAGGTCATATGAGCAAGAAACACCACCACAACAACAACAACAACAACATTGCAAGTTCCTCCTCAAATTCTCAATACACAACCGAGTTGAACTCTTACGAAGCGGCTTGCAAGCTCGACTCGGACTTACAATCCTTCGACTCAGCTCTCCAAGCTCGCACCAATCAAGTAAAAATCAATTTGTTAAGTGGGGTGGTTTAATATTCTTATAAATTTTAAATTTTTTTTATTTTTAAATGACTTGGGATTCGGATTTTTTTTTATCAGGTGATCAATACCCTCGCAGTTGGCGTGGAAGTCCGGGCCCTGTCGTTCGATTCCCTCAAGGAAGTGACGGAATGCCTGTTGGAAATGAATCAGGAAGTGGTAAAAGTTATCTTGGAGTGCAAGAAAGACATTTGGAAGAGCCAAGAGCTGTTCGAGCTCGTCGAGGACTACTTCGAAAACAGCTTGCAAACTCTCGATTTCTGTACCGCTTTAGAGAAGTGTTTGAAGAGAGCGCGCGACACACAACTGCTCATTCTCGTCGCGCTGCAGCAGTTCGACGACGATGATGGTGAAGAGAGTAAGGAAGGTGGATTGGGGTCGTCTAAGTATGCGAGGACTTTGGAGGAGTTGAGGAATTTCAAGTCCGCCGGGGACCCGTTCACCGCGGAGTTCTTCGCGCTTTTCCAGGCGGTTCACCGGCAGCAGACGGCAATGCTGGAGAAGCTGCAGAGCAGGAAGAGCAAGCTTGACAGGAAGCTGAAGTGCATCCACGCCTGGAGGAAGGTGTCGAGCATGATATTCGTGGCGACCTTCGCCGCGGTTTTGATATGCTCGGTTGTGGCGGCGGCAATGGCTGCACCGCCTGTGGCGGCTG